TCCCCATGCAGAACGTCAACAGAATCTTGCATTACAGTTGTGAAGACAATAAATTTATTTTTGTGAGTTCAGTGCAATATGTCTGCTTATGATTAGTATAACACAGTAACATTTTTGTCCAAGTTATCCCAAATTGTTAGGGCTTTCAACTAAGTTTTGCAGACAATACAACTATGAGACCTGTATGAATTACTGAGTTACTGGTTACAAATTTTTATCTTGTATTTATAGTGAATAAGTATTATTCCAAAAAAGTTGTAAATTAGTTGTAAATACCTTTGGGTTCACAACTTGCTGGCATTCACATGTCTTTTTGGCTATTCCATCTAACCTCCTCCGACTGGCTTTCTTTGATTGTTATTACTTAAAGCGAGGGAGTTGTCACCTGTGCATGCATCAGATGGCCATAGTGTGTCATTGTTTACAACAAACGTCTACCCATGAGCCCCTGCATTTTTAGCGTGTGTTGTTATTGTCGCTTGGGACTCAACTTCGGCGCGTGCGCAGGTGACAACCCTCCTGCTTCAATATCCCATTTTGAAATTTGGGTTTATTATATACTGAGTTTTCAAACCTGTGTTTTCTTGTCAGCTATCACCTATATGACTGTTATTCATCAAGTAATGCAGAGGAACATTCTAGGAATGTCACCTTACATGCCAATGGAAATGATGAGTAAAATTACAACCACACACACACAATGTCAACAAGTATCCTGCAAAATGTACTGCCAGTATGGTTTCCAGATTGATGACAAAACTGGATGCGAGACTTGTATTTGCAAGAAAGGTAAATACATGTAGTATAATTCATTTTATAAATTCTAGTGATATGAATTATTACATCAGTAATTTTTTGTCATGTAGAGTAACCTAACCTTTCACTACAAGACTGAGGTAATTTAATTTTTCAGTGTGAAAGTCTTTTTTGCAGTGAAACCTGTTTAAACTGAACACTATGGGAATGAGTTATTGTTTCCAGTGTATAGAGGTCTTTTATATTTTTAAACCTGTCTATACTGAACACTAAAGAGACTGAGATATTGTATCCAATTTATAGAGATCTTTTATACTTTTAAACCTGTCTATACTGAACACTACAAAGACTGAGATATTGTATCCAATTTATAGAGGTCTTTTATACTTTCAAACCTGTCTATACTAAACGCTAAAGGGACTGAGATATTGTTTCCAGTGTATAGAGGTCTTTTATACTTTTAAACCTGTCTATACTGAACATTAAAAAGACTGAGATATTGTTTCCAGTTTATAGAGGTCTTTTATACTTTCAAACCTGTCTATACTAAACGCTAAAAAGACTGAGATATTGTTTCCAGTGTATAGAGGTCTTTTATACTTTTAAACCTGTCTATACTGAACATTAAAAAGACTGAGATATTGTTTCCAGTGTATAGAGGTCTTTTATACATTTAAACCTATCTATACTGAACACTACAATAACTGAGATATTGTATCCAATTTATAGAGGTCTTTTATACTTTCAAACCTGTCTGTACTAAACGCTAAAGGGACTGAGATATTGTTTCCAGTTTATAGAGGTCTTTTATACTTTTAAACCTATCTATACTGAACACTAAGGGACTGAGATATTGTATAATATATAAAAACCTTTATTGATATCGTATCCCTTCTGGGATCTAGATTAGAATACAATAAGGATATAAGGAACAATAAAATACATAAGTAATAATAATAATAAAAAAGAAATAAATAGTAATACTGTGAAAATATTATTATATAAATATTTTTTGGTATTATTTTGAGGCAGCTGGTAAATTGCTTTTCATGAAATTCTCTCTTTTAGTGAAACAGTCGCTGATAAACTTGGCAATTGCTTGGACGGTTTCAGAACATTTTGTTATTGAGAAGTGCTTTCAGATTACTGGATAAGTTTACATTTTCAAACAAAGCATCTCTTTCAAATTTGTACAGGTTACAGTTGAAGAGGAAGTGTTCTTCATCTTCAATTTCATTGGAGTCACAGACAGGGCATGTTCTATTTGAGATATCTATGTTGTGATATCGCCCAACTTCAATCTGAAGTATGTGGGCACTTATCCTCAGTTTAGTCATAGATGATCTGTGGATGGGGTTTTTAATAATTTCAAGGTATTTTTCAAGTGCAAAATCAGTTTTCAGCTGTCTGTAGGTACAAAGTTTATTTTTGTGATTAGTGCCTTTATTGTCATTATGCATTGTGTCTGTGCAGTGTTTTTCAAACATATTTTTTAGTTTTTTTGTAGCTAATGGGATAATACTGTTTTTTTCGCAAACATCACTAATTTCTAAAAGGTTCAGTAATTTTTTTATACCTGTGGTCCAATTACTGACGTTTTCTTTGTCCAAATTGGTGTATCCAGTTTATAGAGGTCTTTTATACTTTTAAACCTGTCTATACTGAACACTAAAAGGACTGAGATATTGTTTCCAGTTTATAGAGGTCTTTTATACTTTTAAACCTATCTATACTGAACACTACAAAGACTGAGATATTGTATCCAATTTATAGAGGTCTTTTATACTTTCAAACCTATCTATACTAAACGCTAAAAAGACTGAGATATTGTTTCCAGTGTATAGAGGTCTTTTATATTTTCAAACCTGTCTATACTGAACACTAAAGGGACTGAGATATTGTATCCAATTTATAGAGGTCTTTTATACTTTCAAACCTGTCTATACTAAACGCTAAAGGGACTGAGATATTGTATCCAGTTTATAGAGGTCTTTTATACTTTCAAACCTGTCTATACTAAATGCTAAAAAGACTGAGATATTGTTTCCAGTGTATAGAGGTCTTTTATATTTTCAAACCTGTCTATACTGAACACTACAAAGACTGAGATATTGTTTCCAGTGTATAGAGGTTTTTTATATTTTCAAACCTGTCTATACTGAACACTAAAGAGACTGAGATATTGTTTCCAGTTTATAGAGGTCTTTTATACTTTTAAACCTGTCTATACTGAACACTAAAAAGACTGAATTATTGTTTCCAGTTTATAGAGGTCTTTTGTGTAGTGAAACTGGTCTCAACTGAACACTAAGAACTGAGATAATTGGTCAGCTTACAGAGATATTTTCGGTATTGAAACTTGTCTGTGAAATGGTCAGTCAGAATTTATATTGACTGAGGCATGATGTACATTCATTTTAAGTTAAATATTTGTATATTAATTTCAGCTCCCAAGATAGGATGTCCAGCTGTCACCTATGGTACTGTTGGTATGTGCGCAGAATTCTGTAAGAATGACAATGAATGTCCACATGACACACTCTGCTGTTCAAATGGATGCGGAAAGTCATGCACAAAGGCAACATTTGGTAAGTGTTGAAAGCACATGCTATGGGAAAGTTCTTGAATTTGAAAATTATGTGCATTGGGTCTGAAATTAATCAAAATTTCATACAGAATATATGAAAATGTGCATGAAATTGGATCAACATATTCTAGAGATATAAGCATGTAGAGTGTTGTATGTTGGAATTCTTACTGTATGCCTACAAGTGAAACATCAAAAGATATAACATAATAGGGGCATCGCCAGACCATTGACTATCATGTTATTTTAAACAATTTAGTGACTTTATCTTTTCTTACAGAGTGTGTTGATGAACATGGTATGTCTCATTCGGAAGGCAGTCTGTGGAACCGTGATTCATGTACTAGATGTAGCTGTGTTCGTGGTAATGTCAAATGTACCACTATGGAATGTCAACCAATTCCTGAAGGATATAAACCAGTTTTCACCAGCGGACAATGCTGTCCATCATATGAATATGGTATGTGGTTTTAAGACATCATGCTTGATGCAATATTTCTAGACAGATTTGATTTTTTTGTAAAAAAAACAACAAAACGTGATTGCTCAAATGAGTAATACCTTCAACTATAGCTTACCCAGAAAGTAGTTATAAATTAGTGAATATTTTTTTTTCATCAGAAACCACTACCTGTGAAGCAAGAGAAGGACAGAAATGGATGGATGATATCTGTACTAACTGTACCTGTGTGGATGGAATGGCTCGCTGTGTAGCTCAGAGTTGTCCACAGATCAAACCAGGTTGTAATCCAGTCTATAAACCAGGCCAGTGCTGTCCTGACATGGAATGTACTGGTAAGTATGTGATGTTTTCTATGCAGTTACACTTTGTAATATGGTGGGTCATGCTAATGGTTATTTTGCTGTTATATCATGACAAATAGAACGGGGCCAACACACTGTAAGTAAACAGTGCATAGACACGTAACAGGAAATTAGGATTTTTTCAGGAGATAATCTGAACTGACTAATCAAAGACTGATTTACATGTAACACTTCACAACTCATTGTCAACTGTACAGTTTACCCATTCACACTTGGCACCATTTTAAATCGTATTCTTGAATACGCATCGCCGACTTGGGAAAAACTGGAAACGACCTGAAAATGACTCCTAACTTAAGAGTACTCGAAGTACATTTCTGAAACACTTCTGCATTAAAAAATGTCTGTGACTCAAATACATTTGCGTTTTTTTGTTTTTTTTAAACTAAATGATCGCCCATCTGCCCAAACATTGCCCATGAGGTAGTGTATCGCACAAATACAATACTTGTTCTCTACTGCTGTTATTATTAAACAACACCATCTTCTATTTTTAAAAACAAATAATTGGTTCTTGCCAACTAATCACTCCACTCATGAGAAAAACACACATACATTTTCATATTCTGTAAATTGACTTTTATGTTAATAACAGGATGTATGACAGATACCGGCAAACATCATGAAGAAGGTCAGTCTTGGAATGCTGATACGTGTACAACATGTACCTGTGTTAATGGTAACAGTGTGTGTACCTCAATGACTTGTCAGATGCCAGAGCCAGGATGTACTGTGATTCCAAAAGATGGACAGTGTTGTCCTACCATTGTTTGTAACAAGAAAGGTGAGATTGTCATATTGTTGAGGTGGCATGCTAGCATATGCACTAGGCAGAATTTGATATGTCAAAAAAACCTGTCAGCAAGTGTGCTGCTCTCTGATTGATCTGAAATGTAGGTGTTAGGGTTGGGTAGCCAATCAGGAACAATCTTGTAAACAAGCTTGTCATTGACTCATATCCCCTAGGTCTGTCATACAAAAAAAAAAGGTACTCAGTTTGTATGTGACCCTGTTGTAGAAATGGTATTGGAAACAATAGAACATTTCACCTTGAAATGTGATGCTTTTTCCAGACAGAGAAAAATTATGATGAATAAAATCAAACACACCTTACTGAGTATAATAAATTTAACATGTGAGAGGATGTCTCCCAAGGCGATGAACTGCTGATTTCTCTCTTGAATGAAACTAACTAGGGCTTGAACTTGAACTTTGTAGAAAAATTAGATAACAATTCCTCATTGATACAGTTGAACTAAGAAATTCATGTGTGTAATTTTTAAATACCTATTAAACCAACTTTTTAGCTTCTCTGTTGACTTTGTTGAGCAGAGCTTATCATATGAGTGCAAGATCCAAGTTGACATTCTCAAAAACTACAAGCCTGAATGCTTTGATTCTTGGTGTACCTTGGGTAGACCTCACTTAGATTTGTTCATTCCATGATGAAATCTTTAATTCTCAAATGTTAGTGAATATTTTTGTAATTTTTGGTAAAAAGTGATATTTTCGACTTCTTGTTAAAAGTCGCAAGTCCAATTGCTTTGATATTACATATATAGGTACTACATGTGGACCTTTCTCAGATTTGTTCATTTTGTAATGATATCTTCAATTCTCTAATTTTAGTGAACATTTTTGTAAAAAGGGATATTGTTGAAAATTGCAAATTTGATTGTTTTGCTGCACCTAATTGCTTCAAACCTGTATTTGTACTTATTGGTGAGCTCCTGATATAAAAAGGTTGCAACAAATAAATAAATAAAAAAAAATAGAAAACTTGATGCAGATAAAAATTAATTAGCATTATCATGACTGTGTGTTTTCAGGTGATGTAAAGCCATGCATGGCAGCTTGGCATTCAGTTCCCACGATGATGTTAATGGGAAACCCAGTGCCAGCAATCGGTGCCTTTGTACCTGTCTGTGATCTGAATGGTTATTTTAATGCTACGCAGTGCCATGCACATACAGGTTATTGTTGGTGTGTAGATAGATTTGGAAATGAAACACCAGGCACTCGCACTGGTAATGGTGTACCAGATTGTGGTGAGTATCAAGTCAAATGTGATTACCGATATACCAGAAAAGGCCTAATTCATTTTACATTTATTGCAGTGTCATGCAAGTTCAAAGGCCCACAAACCTGAACCAGAACCGAACATAATTATTGTAAAAATAAAATCTGAATTTTGTTTGTTTCTATCGTACTCATCTCACTAAGGAATATGCTTAGAATTGGCCTCCTTTCCCTAATAATATGATATCAGCTACAAATGTGAAATATCAGAAATGCACAAATGCGAAATATTAGAAAACAAAATGCATTTTCACTCAATCTAATATTTTTTTAATTCAGCCGTCTGGTGGATCAATTCAGTCATCAAATAAATCTTATGTACAAAATATCCTGAATTTATTATTTACATTGTAGAAACGGACGCATGTATGGGTACCAATGGTGCTATGTATCGTGAAGGAGACCAATGGATGAACAATAAATGTACCATTTGTACTTGTGTCAATGGCATGGCCAAATGTGATGATATGAAATGCCCAGCTGTACCTGAGAACTGCTCACCCATTGAAACTGATGATCTCTGTTGTCCACAGTATGTCTGCAATGACTGTGAGTAGTGTTTAAATCACTTTACATCAATACAATTTCATGAAAGGCTTTCAAATTTGTTTATATTTTGCGAATAAATTGCTTATTAATATAAAAAAGTTATTATATGAACATCAAGTTGTTGGTGGATGTAGTGAAATAATTAAAACAACTATTTGTAAAAATACATCAATTTTCAATAGTTTGTCATATGCTATTACATGTGCTATAGAATGTGTTCTCCTTTGAAATCTTCCCTATGCTTCCATTGTAATCAAAGTCAAGTTTTGAATATGACATCAGGGGGTGAGGTAGTTTACCCTATATTAATTCAAATGTGCGAATGAGTGCTGATATGTTTTGAAGTGCTGATATGGAATTACAAATTCTATTGTTTATTCAATATGTATAACAAATTATATAATGATGTATCTGTACTTGATAGATTGTATTGATGTAAAAGGAACACAGCGTAATACTTTCGAACAATGGAATGTCAACTCCTGCACTCAGTGTACATGTTATGATGAAAACATCATATGTCGTAGTCAACAGTGTCCAAAAGAGACTGAAGATGTACCCGAAGGTTGTTATATGATGCCTGTGGAAGGTCAATGCTGTTCTACAAAGTTAGTGTGCGGTGATGGTAAGAACAATTATTTATATCTTGATAACTTGTATTTCTAAAATAGAGATATTTTCACCTTTGTAATTTCAAACATTGTTGCAATAATAGAGGCCATGCTCAAGATTTTCCATAGGTATTATGTGTGTAACATGAAAGCCCTCTATACAATGAGGTATCCATTGATAATAACCATTCTAAGAATAGCTGCTTAAGATAGCCGCTTAGTGTTACTACATGGAATTGGAAAACCAAGAATAATGTTAGATATAATTTCACTGTGCTCCCAAAAACCGGATTTGGCAAAACCAGCATGTGTATCATTTTGTCTTCCAAGATGGCCACCACTTCCATTTGTTTCCATGGTAACATATTGCGTGTTTTAAAAAATAGTCTGGTGTTCCCATAACTTAGTGATGATTCTACTATAAAATTTATTTATGTATTTGGTTTGCTTTTCAGTGTGTCCATATGATAAACCTCTTGTGCAATGTACAGTCAACCCATGTGACAATGCTGTATGTCATGGATATGCTAATGTCAAATGCCGTGCAAGCTACTGTGGAGGATGTACTGCTGAATTTTATGATGACCTCAACAACAAAGTCACATGTAAATCAAGTAAGCAATATTTTATATCATTTGATATTGAGATAAGTTCTGAAAACAACAACTTAGATTAATCATTTCACACTCTTAGATGCTTCTAAACTGTTCATATTCAAACTTCACACATAATAATCTCTCACAATCTGATTCAAGATGGCTGACTGGCAACCATTATTTGAATTTTAAAAATGCATTGAATTTGAAATAAAAAAATCGTTATGATTCTAGACTTGACTCTGCAGTGTTTATTGATTCCATAAGGCCACGTTCATAGCACGGTAGCGCATACATTTATGCAAATGACAAAATAAGTCATATTTTACATTAATATAATTTTTGATTAATGTTTGGATGTAGGGAAAATATGATATAGTTGACTACATGTACAAGTATGTACAGGTTCAGTTCCAATAGCAATTAGCGTGTAAAAAAATAGGTAGAATTGGATTGCCCAACACAAAAAGTATTTAAATTATTATTTATTGTACATAAAATTATCTATAACTGGTACTTTTATTCATTTCAGCCGATGTCTGTCGTTCCGATATCGTAAAAACTACCAAAAGAAGAACTGAAATGATTCCAAGATGTACATTTGATGGACGATACTCTCCAAAACAATGTGATAACACTGGAGCATGTTGGTGTGTAGATCGTACTGGAGAAGAGATATCACACACCTATGACAACACTGGTGACCGAGTCACCTGTGAAGAAGGTGAATAAACTATTTAAAATCTGTGAGAAAGTATACTGAGGTTCTTTAGGCATGGAATTGTTGTGACTTGTGAAATACATGTAAAAACTCTCTAATCCTGACCACTTTTAAATAAAAAAAACAAATACTGATTCAGATTTTGGCCAAGTGACATGTTTAAATACTAGTATATTTTGTTTGTTACCATGACAGCCATTAGAAGTCTCTTAGTAGATCGCAGATGACCCAGCGGAGCTGTTGGTATGGGAGTCCCTTTGGCGGCGTCCGCCTCGCGTTCCGTGTCCCGTGTGAAGTTTTCCTTTAAACGACTTTTTCTTCAAAAGTACTTACCAATTACATTCATATTTGTACCATAGGTACTTAGGGTGGTCCTCAGTCAGATTTGGTAAATTCGTGTCAAAATATGCAAATTTGGATTTTTAGTGAATATTTTTGTCACTTTTGGTAAAATGTTTTATTTCTGACAACTAGTCTCACACCGTAAGTCCAAATGCTTTCATATTTGCAGGAATGATACGTGGGGTGGTTCTCTGTCAGATTTGTTAAATTTGTGTCAAAATATGCAAATTTTGATTTTTAGTGAATATTTTTGTCATTTTTGGTAAAAAATGTTATTTTCGACAACTAGTCCAAAACCGTAAGTCCAAATGCTTTGATATTTGCAGCAATGGTACTTGGGGTGGTCCTCTGTCAGATTTGTTAAATTTGTGTCAAAATGTGCAAATTTTCATATAATTTTTTTCTTGACTATTTCTCAGGTTTTTGCACACCCACGATTTCTTAAGTTTAGCCTCAATGATGTTTGTCCAATAAAATGCGCTTTCCTTATGAACACTATAAAAGTTCATAATTGCAACTGCAAGCAACTGTAACTCAAGTGCAATGTTCTCTAAATGACTGACTATGAATATTACAACCATAATGCCACTTTACTGATTCTTGTTCCATGATAATAAAGACAGCGAAGCTATTTCAACCGTCAGGTATATGTTTTTGAACACAAGCGACCTGACTGATTTCAACATTCTCTCACAATATCACTCTTCATCCACAAAAACAAGTGTTGAATGTGACATCAGTGAATGCACCAATGTTGGTGATGTGGTTTATCCATATAAAAGAAAATTCAAATGTCGAATGAATGTGATATGTTTTGGAACAAAGATGAATAATTTCATAGCAAATCAAAGAAATAATATATTTGTATTGTACCATTACTGAATTAATGTACAATGCTGTTAGAATCACAGAAAAGTTTGTTATTTTTGTTTGTACGATAGTGGATAATCGTTATTTTTTATTATTAATTAAAGCGTTAATTAGAGTCAAACCAAGAACTTGAAAACTAAAAACAGCACAATTCTGCGATCGATCACAAACAAAAATTTTAAAAGCTGCGTTTTGTATGGAATTTATATTCGCTGATTTTTAGCTCCACTGTCGACTTTGTCGAGCAGAAAGCTTATTATATGAGTGATTGTCCGTCATCGTTTGTGTCAATGTTTTACTCTTTTGACTTCTTCTTGAAAACTACAAACCTGAATGTTTTGATAGTTGGTGTATATGTACCTTAGATTTGTTCATTTCATAATGATATCTTCAATTCTTCCATTTTGGTGATATGTTTGGTAAAAACCGCAAGTCCAATTGCGTTTTGTATGGAATTTATATTTGCTGATTTTTAGCTCCACTGTCGACTTTGTCGAGCAGAAAGCTTATCATATGAGTGATTGTCCGTCGTTGTTCGTGTCAATGTTTTACTCTTTTGACTTCTTCTTGAAAACTACAAGCCTGAATGCTTTGATAGTTGGTGTATATGTACCTTAGATTTGTTCATTTCATAATGATATCTTCAATTCTCCAATTTTGGTGATATTTTTGGTAAAAACCGCAAGTCCAATTGCTTTGATACTACATATATAGGTACTACATGTGGGCCTCTCTCAGATTTGTTCATTTTGTAATGATATTTTCAATTCTCTAATTTTGGTGAATATTTTTGTAATTTTTGGTAAAAAGTGATATTTTCAACTTCTTGTTAATAACCGCAAGTCTAATTGCTTTGATATTACAAATATAGGTACTATATGTGGACCTCTCTCAGATTTGTTCATTTCGTGATGATGTCTTTAATTCTCTAATTTTGATGAATATTTTTGCAATTTTTGGTAAAAAGTGATATTTTCGACTTCTTGTTAAAAATGCCAAGTGAGATTGCTTTGGTACTACATGTGGACCTCTCTCGGCTTTGTTCATTTCATGATGATATCTTCAATTCGCTAATTTTGGTGAATATTTTTGCAATTTTTGGTAAAAAGTGATATTTTTGAATTCTTGTTTGAAACCACAAGTCAGATTGCTTTAATACTATACATATTGTTCATTTTCTAATGTGCATTCCTAACAGCGGAGCTATCTCAGCTGACAGGCTGCTTGTTATAGAACCATAACAAAACCTGAGGTGAAGTGACAACTGTGGATCTATATTTATGGCATTACAATGTATATTGATAAATGGTATTTCTGTTTTTAGAACCACCCTGTCGAAAGGAACAGCGAAGCATCCAAGAACAGATCAACCGTGGCTTGGAAGTCACTACTGATCCTCAATGTCGTAGCAATGGCTGGTATAAATCCGAACAATGTGACCCCATCTCTAATGAGTGCTGGTGTAGTGAGAGAGATGGCACCGAGATCCCAGGATCTCGTAAAGCCATACGCAAAGACCTCAACTGTGGTAAGCTGGCTTTGAAAACATCAATGCAATACATGGATATTTATCTTGTTTGACATCTACCCATTCTCTAAGCCTTGACTATCATATCTATCACCTGCACACATGCAGGAATTGAATCCTAAGCGACAATAACCAACACTAACAATTCAAAGGGTAGACATTTATTTGTAAACAATGACTCGCTATGACCATCTCTGCATGCAGATGACGACTCCAACCTTAGGAGGACTACTTAAATTTATATTCTGCAGTCATTTTCCCCGTGATTTCCACATTTTATGGTGTATATACAGTATAAATGCAACTTTAAAACATTAACTATCAGATTTCTTCGTATATACCTCTGTACATGTCAGTACCCTTGTGTCAATATTGTCACATTTTTTGAACCAAACTACAGCATCATTGTCGCCTACGCATGGCTTCATTGTGGCCTCAGCATCGCATCATTGTGGCATCAGCTTCGCGTCACTTATTTTGTGGCATCATCGTGGCCTCAGCTTCGCAGTCTCATGGCATCAACATAGCATCAGCTTCAAAGTATTGTGACATGAGTATGACCTCATTATTTTCACATGGTAAGGCAGTAGAGAAAAACACATGTACAGAAGTTTGATATGTAATCTATTTGAAATTCAAAGCGGTAAGGGAAATAAAATAATATGACCAAGAGTAAAATGACATTTTAAAAAGATATCTGGTTTAATTATTTAATATTGCGAGTATTGGGTACCAAAAACTATGTGAAGTACATCGCAATCTGCAAGATGACGAGTGTCATATTGACTGCAAGAAAAAACGTGATGAAGTTAAATCACACCATGGAACTATAGTTCATGGGTTTATAGTTCCATGATCACACGATGCAATAGTCGTTCGGAAACAACACAATTTGCTATCCTCGGTGGCGGAGCTCCGTCACTGACGTTCCACGTTGCTAAGACGCGCACCACTGCGCCATGCATTTCTATGGGCTCAGTGCGCGCTGCTGTGGAACGCCGGTCGAGTCGGTGAAAATTCGAGAAAACAACACAAACTCAACTTTGAAGTAATCCTAAACAACCGAATTTATATACTTAGTATGTTACACAAGTAGGGCTAATCTTGTGACACTGTTCATGGGAGTCTCAACAATCATCCCAAAGTATCGTTTTCTGCGAATTTTTGACCATTGTTTTCACCGCGATGGATACGAAATGAAACTGTTCTTGTTATAAAATTACCTTATTTTCGTTCATTTTATTTGCTGGTAAGAGAACAGATTCAGATTCCTCATTTTGGTGGTATTTTTCTGTGTTTCGTTCAGTTTTAGCCGAGTCCGATCCCATGCCCGGACTACTAATACATGCAAAACACGCGTACGCCGCCTGGTGCATCGGCGTTGTCGCCTGCCATCTTGATACAAAGTTCCAAAACAAGTGCGTACATTTTCAACTATGATTGGATGGTTGTGGTGGCGTCGGTCTGGTAACATTTTACATCCAATTTTCAATATTAAGTCACGATCAGTGACCTGAGCTCGATCTACACGTACTTTAAAAGTATTCTCACAAAAAAATATTTTCAATAAAAACGAGCCACAGGCCTGGTAAAAAATCAATAGCACTTGACATGCAGAAATAATTTATTGGGCTTCAGAAAAAAAGTGTTTATTTAGTTGTAGCTGTAAATATTTGGTGACCAGTCGATGAACAATTTGAAACTCATTATACACCCGGAAGTCCTTCGATACTGAATATCATCGACCCCAATCTGGTTTACCTTATTTCCAAACTTGCAAAACTGATTTGTATCTCAGCCCAGTTTTTCTTTTTTCTTTTTTTGAACTGAGGTCAAACCCCAGCCGTTTGTCAAAATATACCGATGTTTTTCAGTGAATGATTGTGAAGCCTGTCACAGCACAGTGAATCGACGCCAGAGATTGGGTGGTACGACGACCCTTAAATTAGCGTCAAATATGCTTTGTTACAACATCATTGATTGGCTGATCGGAGCACGACCTGGTCACAGAACCATATTTGTCCGTATTATCAACGGGACTTTGCGAGAGAACCACATCCACATTTTCAACCATTTTTAGCGCGGAAGTTGCCAACAAATGTCGAAAAACTCATGAATTTTAGGGATTTGAATAAAATAAAGCTAGCGATTGGTAAGACTGGTTAATAATATATCCCCCCATGCTCTTCGAATTTTTTTATTTTATTTCAAGGCGAGAAATGGATAATTGAAGTTCCATCGATTTCAAGGCGACTGTTTCACCGTGACAACTCTTCGCTGTGTTGTAGTTTCGTGAGGTAAAAAAATATATAATAAATAGTACTTGTTTAATTATTTGGTTTTACAGCCCGCAAATTACGGGACGTGATCCCCATGAATTACGATAAATAAATGCTGATTGTGTTGAATGATGGACGTCGGAACCGTTTGGAGAAACCAACAGGGATCGATATTCCAAACAAATTATTGGGACATGGTCGGTAGACA